TTGATTGATTGATTGATTTATTCATTTTTCTTTCAAAATAAACATATGTATGTAAATTACAATATTAACTTAACATAAATTATAATAAAATATTAAAAGAAAGAAAAAGTAAGGCATTCTGTAAAAAGTATTAATATTTTAGTATCGAATGCCGTCTCAAGAGGAATTTAATGCACATTAACAAAAGTGTGTGGGGTGAAATTCAGAATAAACTATACATTGTAAGATAAATTTAAATTTAATTAAGTTGGTTTATGAAAAAGCGGTGTACATGCTCATGAGATTACATATTTAGTTCAAGTTTACTAAGTTGTAGGGTTCAGCAAAATTTTGATGTCGTCGTGTGATTGTTCTAATAAAAATGATTTAACCTTTAATAAAAATGTACGCAAATTTCTAATGACTCGTATAGAACCAGGTAGCGTATTGAAAGCCTTGCAAGAAACAATACTGAAGAAGTTACTGAAGTGAGTTGTGCGAGATGTGGGAACATAAACAAACGAGTTGTGCGAGTTGTTGATAGATTCTGCGAGCTCCCCCCCCCCGAAACAAATTCCTGGCTACGGGCCTGGTTAAGGCATTTAAATATTTCGTAGGTAGGTATGTTAGTTAGGGTTTATTTATTGAGATCGGAATATGCAAAGTATTTTGGGCCTATTTTAAAAATATTAAAAATTTAAACAGTTCCGCAGTAAGCATGTGCACTCTGCAGTGATAAGTACAGCAAAATATAATTACTGTTAAAATTACTATAAAGGTTTTCAGAGCAATATCGTGTTGTGGTTAAAATACAATTCAAATTTGTTCAATATTGTGGCAATTTATTTGTGCAATAAAGTTTGGCTGATTGACATCTTATAAATTCAAACGCATTTTTCACGTCGTTCCCGTACAATTATGCCTCCAAAGCGACAAGTAATTGGCCGATCTACACCTCAAGCACGGAATAAAAGAGCATTACGAGCGTCAGAAAAAGACGAGAAACGAAATTGATCGAATACGTACTACTCAGGACCGTTCGTCTGAGACAACTGAACAACGGGAAAGAAGGCTGCAAATGTTCGAATAAGCACCGCTCGATCAAGACGAACACTGCACGCTGATTTAAATCTTGGGGCATTCCATTATGACAGTAATAATAATTACAGTCTTCATCCAAGTGTCAACATTGGAAAAATGGATAAAATTTGCATGTATTGTAGCGCCCTCAAATTTAAGAACGAAACGCCAGGAATGTGCTGCGCCAGTTGAAAAGTTAAACTGCCAGAATTACCTCTACCACCCGAACCACTATCAACGTTGCTATCAGGTGTTACACGTGAGTCAAAGCATTTCTTGGAAAACATCCGCAAATACAATTCATGTTTTCAAATGACATCGTTCGGTGCAACGAACATCGTGCGCGAAAATTACATGCCAACATTCAGAGTCCAGAGTACCATTGCCGGACGCAGATCACAAGTTTCTTCAAATTTATTTCATGGCCAACAGTGATAAACAAATTGAACAACGATGCCATTACAATGAGGGCACTAGACGAGAAATCGTGGCTGCGTTACAAGCCTTTTTCGATCAACACAATGAATTAGTTGAGTTGTTTAAAACCTCCATTCAATTAATGCCAGCCGATGACTACGCAGTTGTAATTCGAGCAGAAAAAAGACCCGTTGCCCAACACGAAAGACAGTTCAATGCACCAACAATCAATGAAGTGGCGATCGTGATAGTTAGCGAAGAATTCAAATCGTGCGACATAATTCTTCATTGTAGAAATGGCGACGTTCAGCGAGTATCCGAAACTCATCGCTCATACGACGGATGGCAGTATCCGATTCTGTTTTGGCGAGGAGAAGATGGATATCATTTCAACATCAAAATGAAAAATACACAAACAGACGAGGAAACGAATAAGAAAGTCAGTGACATGAATTATTATTCGTATCGATTGATGATTCGTCAAGACACTGAGAATCACATTCTGAAATGTCGACAATTGTTCCATCAATACATCGTCGACATGTACGCGAAGATTGAAACCGAACGACTCCTATATATTCGATTGAATCAAACCGAGTTGCGTTCTGAAGAGTACATCCATTTACGAGACGCAATCGTTAATGATGGTAACGTGAATCCAAACGAATTGGGAAGAATGGTCATATTACCGTCTACATTCACGGGGAGTCCACGGCACATGCATGAATACGCACAAGATGCGATGACATACGTTCGCGCATATGGCCGTCCAGATTTGTTCATCACATTCACATGCAATCCAACATGGGATGAAATTAAAGAACTTCAGTTAGCTGGACAATCATCTTCGGACCGCCATGATATTACCGCACGCGTATTTAAACAAAAATTGAAAGCTTTGATGGATTTTATTAAAACGCATCACGTTTTTGGAGAGACATGAAGCTGGATGTATTCCATTTAATGGCAGAAAAGTGGATTGCCACATGCACATATTTTGGTTTGGTTAATCAACAAAATTACGCAAGATCAAATTGACCAAATCATCTCAGCAGAAATACCAGATAAGGACATTGATCTAGACTTATTCGACGTCGTTACCAAAAATATGATCCATGGTCCATGTGGCGCATTCAATAAAAATTCTCCATGCATGTCTGATGGGACATGCACGAAACGATACCCAAGAAACTTGGTTTCTGATACCATCACTGGCAATGACGGACACCCACTGTATCGTCGACGATCAGTTGAGGATGGCGGCAAATCCATCGTTCTGAAAGTACGAAACGTTGATGTTGAAGTCGATAATCGTTGAGTTGTGCCATATTCACCGTTGCTCTCAAAGATCTTCAAAGCACACACTAATGTTGAGTATTGCAATTCAGTGAAGTCGATCAAATACATTTGCAAATATGTCAACAAAGGATGCGACATGGCAGTCTTCGGAGTAGGGAATGTGGCCGCACAGCTCGATGAAATCAACCAATACCAACTTGGATGCTACATTAGCAGCAATGAAGCAGTATGGCGCATCTTATCATTTGCAATCCATGAACGACATCCAACTGTAGTACACTTGGCGGTGCATCTCGAGAATGGACAGCGCGTGTACTTCACAGCAGGTAATGTACGTACAAGAGCATTGGTTTCACCGGCAACAACTTTACTGCATTTTACTCACTGTGCCAGGATGATATTTTTGTAAAGACTCTACTTTATTCTGAGGTACCGAAATTCTACACATGGAATGCATGGGCTAAAAAGTTTCAACGTCGCAAGCAAGGTAAAGCAGTTGAAGGACATCCCAATCTGTATTCCTCTGACGCATTTGGTCGTCTGTACACTGTTCACCCGAACAATACAGAGTGCTTCAATCTGCGATTGCTGTTAATCAATGTACCTGGACCGACATTCTTCCAAGATTTAAGAGCAGTCAACGGTCAGCTGTGCGCCACTTATCGCCAAGCTTGCCGGGAGCTAAATCTTCTTGAGAATGATGCACATTGGGACACTGCGCTCGCAGATGCATCGAATACTGCGCGACCACAGCAAATGCGCACGTTATTTGCCGTAATATTGACAACCTGCTTCACATCTAATCCAAAAGAACTTTGGGAAAAATACAAGGCCTACATGAGTGAAGATATTCTACATCGTTTGCACGCTGCGAATCAAAATCTGGACATTCAATTCATACCAAACGTGTATAATGAGGCATTGATTTTGATTGAAGACATATGTTTGGCAATCGCTAACAAAGCACTGATGCTACTGGGAATGCCTGCTCCGAACCGACCAGCGAACGACATTTTCGATCGTGATTTGGAACGAGAAACACACTTTGATTCTGACGAACTGGAAACATTTGTTCAGACAAATCTTCCGCAGTTGGTTCCAGAACAACGCATTGCGTATGACAGAATTATGCGTGCTATCACAGAACAAAGTGCTGGACTGTTTTTCATAGATGCGCCTGGTGGTACAGGCAAGACTTTTCTTTTTCACTCATTTTGGCAGCCATACGATCTCAAAATAATATTGCACTGGCCATTGCATCATCTGGAATTGCGGCAACTCTTTTGGATGGTGGTCGAACAGCGCATTCAGCATTGAAACTTCCGTTAAATTTGCAAAACACTGAGGCACCAACATGCAACATCAGTAAAAACTATGGAATGGGCAAAGTACTCCAAGCGTGTCAAATTATCATATGGGACGAATGTACAATGTCTCACAAGAAAGCATTGGAAGCGATTGATCGTACACTGCGAGATTTGAGGGGAAACACCCGGATCTTCGGTGGTGCACTCATTTTAATGTCTGGTGATTTTCGACAAACACTGCCGGCTTTACCACGTTCAACACTCGCTGATGAACTTAATGCATGTCTCAAATCATCAGTTTTATGGCGTCTTATACAGAAATTGACTCTGAAAACCACCTTGCGTGTACAACTACAACGGGATACATCGGCTAGTAATTTTGCAAAAGAATTAATGGATATTGGAAATGGGCGAATGCAAATTGATGATTCTACACAATGTATCACCTTGCCAGCAAACTTCTGTAGGATCACAGAAAGCATAGCCGAATTGGTGCAAAAGGGTATTCCCAAAGATTGCACAGAACTACAAAAATCATCATTGGCTCAGTACGCGTGCTATATTAGCGGCCAAAAACATCGATGTCAATACCATCAACTTCACTGTTCAGAATGGAATACCCGGCGAAACGACAACATATAAGTCCATCGATACTTTGTTGAATCAAGACGAAGTTGTCAACTATCCAACTGAATTCTTGAATTCGCTTGATTTGCCAGGCATGCCACCGCACGTTCTAACATTGAAAATTGGCGTGCCCATCATTCTTTTTCGAAACATAAGTCCACCACGACTTTGCAACGGAACCAGACTCTCAGTCAAGAAAATGATGAACAATGTTATCGAAGCAACAATTTTGACTGGAAAATTCAAAGGTGAAGACGTACTGTTGCCACGCATCCCAATGACCCCGACAGATATGCTATTCGAATTCAAACAAACAAAAAGCAGAAGGACAATCGTTGCAAGTGTGTGGGTTAAATTTGGAGAATCCATGCTGCTCACATGGGCAGCACTATGTGGCCTGCTCACGCGTCGTAAAACCCTCCGATTTATTCCTTTACGCACCAGATGGAAAAACCAGAAATATTGTGTATCCCACAGCACTTCAATAAATATCGAATTGAAACGAAACGCTGCAACAAAATCAATAAAAGGACTCAAAATGAATTGAATATTTGTGTAATGTCTTTCCTTCATATTTATTTTAGTTGGTGGCGTAGCAACGCGCGCAGGGTACAGCTAGTTTAAAATAAAATACGTATGTACATACATATATGTAAATAATATTATCAATAAAATGTAAACTAAAGTACATAAGCAACAAAATGTTCGTTTGTTTATTTTGATTTATATGCACATATGTAAACAAGCTAAAATTGAATAGAGTTTCTAAATATGTATGCCGAACCTGGACTAGTCTCGGACTAGTTCGAAATAATCCACGCCACGAACTGATCCGGAACTAGGCTAAAGTAGTTCTGAACTGCTTTCTAAATCCGCCCGAACTAGTTCGGATCCCGAACTGGCATTGTCTGTACCAAAGCATTCTCAAATACCTTTCGTTTAAAACCCATGTTGTAATATTTGAGTTAACTTGCATATGTATTTAAATAACTATAATTTGAAGAAAGTTGGCAACCCTGTTGATAAATTTGACTGGGTCAAAGCTTACACTGAAATTATATGTATATTTAAATTTACTTTTTTTATAGGAAGCAAGCCTATTCAAAAATTTTATTGGAGTAAAATATGATACCCATGTTGGATTTTACTGAAGTTCCTTATATACCATGATGCAATAATACAAGGTGTTATCGGTTGGCAGCTTCTCGCTCTAATTCCGCCGTATTTACTGTCTTAGCTGAAAGAGTGTTACTTCCTTAACAATTCTTTGCCCAATAATATAATTGAACTAGTGAACCCGCATGGCGTTAAGACGCCAAAATTGAATTTAACTTTTTAAACAGATGGAAACACTATTCAAAAACCTTAATAAGTATTGCAAATGTTTCAAATTTAAAATTTTCAACAGATGGCAACTCTCTTCAGACCATCAAACAAAATTTTAATGTTTAAACTGAAGATTTCTTAGCACTCTTTCGTTTAACACCCATATTTTAATACTATANTTGAAACAAAATTTTAATGTTTAAACGGAAGATTTCTTAGCACTCTTTCGTTTAACACCCATATTTTAATACTACATATAACATATTTTTAACTAAATTCGGCTTTTAAAGCAGGTGGCAACCCTTTTCAAAACATTTTCAAATTACTACCTTTTTAAACCCCTTTCGTCTGGACCCCTGTGGGGGACATTTTTAAATTAACTATGTAATTTCCCTGTTTAAAATTTAATTTGGTTTTCAAACAGAGGGCAACACTCTCACAGTTAAGTTAAGAAACATATCTTTTATGATTTAGTTTTTGAAATAATTTGAATTTAATTTTTTAAAGGTGGCAACTTCTTTCAAAAAGTAAACCCTCATTTCTCATCTGCGACCAAGCCTTTTAATTTCACGCCCCATTTTTAAAAATCGAGCTAAGGATGGGGATATGATGGTTAGAGTGGTCCAAAATAATAAAGTCGGAATTTTAATGCCGCCACCCCCTAGGATTGTTCTGAACCGAAAATAAATATGCCCCTATTTTTTATTTTGAAATCAAAAAATATTTAGGGAGTGCTCACAGCGCTCAAAGTTTTCCATGTATTTTATATAGGAAAAAAACAAATTTTCGTAAAAATGGTATAAAACCCTTGAAATTCAATATTTTTCAATCGTAAAACTGTGGTTCTCTTCAGGAGACTTCAGACATTAATATCCAATTGTTTATTTAACCATTTTTTTATGATTAAAGATTTTTTATTGGTCCCCCCATTGCATTTTCTAGGACCTGTAAAATATAGTTACCATGAAAAAATGGTTAAAGGAACAATTGGGTATTATTACTGGGAATCTCCTGAAGATAAGCAAAGTTTCCCGATCGAAAAATATTGATTTGCAAGAATTCTACACTATTTCTACGAAAAGTTGTTTTTTCCCCATATAAAATACATTGAAAACTTTGAGCGCTTTGAGCACTCCCTAATTTTTTTTTATTTCAAAATAAAAAATAGGGGTATATTTTCTGTCGGTATAGAACAATCCTAGGGGGTGGCGGCATGAAAAATGCGACCTTATTTTTTTACAAAGGAATAAAATGAAGTAGTGTAACAAAAGACAAAAGTAGTGTAACAAAACAAAAGCTTTAGCAAGAAAATTTTGTCAAAACTGCACTAAAATGAATAAAATAAAATAAGTTAAGGTCTCGTTAAAGTTACTAAAAGCCATTTAGTGAAAGGAGTTATTCAAACTCTAATGAAAATTACTAACAATTTGTACTAATTTACTTCGTTTTTAAAAAAGCTTGTCGGCGAATTCAGCGTACATGCATAGTTGGTTAGGTATGTATGTATACATATTTAAATGCCGGTTAGCTATTCGCGCGACAAGGTTTTTTAAAAACGAAGTAAATTAGTACAAATTGTTAGTAATTTTCATTAGAGTTTGAATAACTCCTTTCACTAAATGGCTTTTAGTAACTTTAACGAGACCTTAACTTATTTTATTTTATTCATTTTAGTGCAGTTTTGACAAAATTTTCTTGCTAAAAAATATTTTGTTGCACTACTTCATTTTATTCCTTTGATTGTACAGGTTAAATAAAAGCTTGTTTTTAAAAAATATTTTGTTTACATTATTTTTTTATTTTTACGCTGTGCTAGCTGAGTATAAAAGGATAAGTGAATAGAGAGAAATATGTATGTGGTTTGTTGATGCTCTCTAAACACAAACGCGTGAAAGACAAGCGGTCTAGCAGTGCGTGGTATTGTTGATCAATTTAATAATTTAATTAAACATACTTATTATTAAAATTTCCTTTTACAAATACCACTGTGTTCTACTGTGGTAGAAATGTCATTTTAAAAGCGCAGTTAGTCAACGACGTAGCGTAAACGTAGGTTGACGTACGTAGCAGCATATCAAATTTACTGTTGATAGAGAGAGAGAAGCAATGGCAACGTCACGCCATGCGGTGGTGAACTTTCGTTAACACGCGAATCCCATAAGGTAGATCGTGTCTGCGTCAACCTACGTCTACGTAACGTCGTTGACTGTTTGAGCTTTAAAACTTGAATCATAGAAATCGACCCAGCACATCGGCTGTTTTGCTCTCACTTTTTTTTGGCTTTTAATTTTATATACACCTAGTTACGGTGACCATCCGTCCTTTATTTTAAAGGACAATCCTTTATTTTAACTCCCTGTCCTTTATAATTTTTTTGAAAATAAAGGACGCCTTTTGTCCTTTATTTCTTAAGTCTGCATTTTTCAGAGGTAAATTTTTAAACGCAGAATATGAAAAATAAAAATATCCCTTATAAAATGTAATGAAAACCTTCGCCAGTTTGTTTCGCACCCCACTTAAGGGTTTCTACTTAATCGGTAATCTTTGTACAATCTATAAAGCACAGGGAAAGTTGTGCCCAGGATCGTGTTGCACGCTGAGTTTCCAGTTCCACTGAAAGAGAACANCTGAAGGGTTTCTATTTAATCGGTAATCTTTGTACAATCTATAAAGCACAGGGAAAGTTGTGCCCAGGATCGTGTTGCACGCTGAGTTTCCAGTTCCACTGAAAGAGAACAATAAACCCCCTGCTGCACAGTGGTTCAAAACTGGCATTTAGTGTTCATAATTCACTGAAGCCTTAATTTTTCACTTAACTTGATTAATTTTTTTTTATGAAAGCTAACAATATTTACAAGAAACCAGTTGAGCCTGATTTCTGAACTTTTATTTGATTATATTAAATTGTTTAGTGCGAAATGCAGAAGTAGCAATTTTGAAGAAAATGTTCCAGTTAATAAATGTTACATAACAAAAGGTAGTTGAAAACAATTGTGTGGTTCTCCCAAAACAAAACAAAAAAATACACAAAAAAAAATTGTAAATGTTATAAAAAAAATTTCATCAAAATAAATATATTTTTTTTGGTGTTTAGTAAAAATTGGTTGAAAAATGAAGGCGTTGGTGCATTATGAACATTAAATTCCAATTTTGAACCACAGTGTGTTGGCTTCGTTGTGCAGTATGAATTATGGTAAACGGATTTTGGCAGCAAAGGATGGCGAAGTCCTTGAAAAGGATTTGGCTTAATTTTTGGCTACAGCAGGGGAACTTGTACAATTAAATAACATAATAAATTGGTAAATATTTGATTTAAATTACGATATGGGTAAGGTACTTTTATCATACAAGTTGTATGTACGTATTCCCAAATCATTTTGAAAAAAAATGTCCTTTATTTTACGTTGGTTAATATGGTGACCGTTTACATAGTATAGATTAAAGATAATTTTCTGTTTTATTTAAATAAAGTATTCAATTGCATTACTAATTAGTAAATGTTTTGTTTAAAATATTTTTTATAAGAAAAAATTTAATAATTTAATATTGAGCTATAGGCCGTATGTTAAATAAAACATGAAATGTTTTTCTGTTTTATTCACTTTTTATTTTTATATTGGTCGATGTTTCGCCTTCAGTCTGAAGCAGGGACGTGAACCGGTTTTGAACCGAACCGGTTTTAAACCGGAAAACCGCTTTTTTCTATTAATTAACTAAACCATTAACCGAACCGAAATTTTCCACAAATGTTTGATCCGAACCGAAAACCGAACCAGTTTCTACAAAGGTTTAAAGGTTCGTTTCAACCAATTTTCAATAGATCAATATACCTACTTTTTTCTTTTTGATAAACATGGTAGTACGTACCGTGGCAACGTAAAGGCAACCCATCTCATTTGACAGACACTTGGCCCTTAACCTTGCGCGTTGTTGCACTTGACACTTAAACTTGCGCGTTATTTTTTTGTTTTTCGAACCGTTGAACCGAACCGAAACCCCGGTTCAAAGATAAAAAAAAACCGCTTCGACGAACCAATCCAAAAGTGCAAAAACGGTTCGAACCGCTGAACCGAACCGACCAATTTTTTCATCCGGTTCACGTCCCTGGTCTGAAGGCATCTTCATCGACTAAAATAAAACTAATAAATAAAATAAAAAAAAAACTTTTTAATATACAACGCTTTTATAAATGGACAAAAAAGTAGAAAATAATATTTCTCAGTCCCACAGAATTTGTTTTGATAACTTTTGATTTTGAAATTTTAGCAAAAGTTATTATAAACAATTAATGACATTGAAATCGAAAAACGTGGAGCGCATGCAGTACAAAGCATTCGATTTCATTGACAATAGTCAAACTACATAACATTCTACAGCGAAAGTACAAATTTGAGATCGATTTTAAACGGTCGTTATTCATATGCCCACATACATACATATGTTACTTTCCATATCAATTCAAGTGTATTACATGCGCCCCACATTTTTTTTTGTGTATTTGTATATTAAAAAGTTTTTTTTTTTAATTTTATTTATTTTCTACTTTTTAGTCTTGTCTGTACAAAATTTTGCAATAGATATTAAAATAATTCAACTTGCACTGAAAAAGAACAGAAGACTATGTAAGCACAATATTGTTTGCTCACATTTAGTATAAACATACGTATGTACATACATACATATAGCAGCAGTTTATTTCATTTAAAGAAATGGCGTGTCGTCCATTTCCGCTGTGACGTATATAAATAGTGCATATATTTAGGCGCAATATTCAACTTCTTCTGGCGGGGCGACATCTAGTCTTCTAATTGTATCTCCTTGATATGATGCCTACGACGAGGTTGATATCTGGACTAGGTCTGCCATAAATACCTTTGCTATATATATAGTATGGTGGTCTGGACATACAACATTGCAAGTTGATAAAAGCGTTGTAAAAAAAGTAAATAAAACAGAAAAACATTTAATGTTTTATTTAAGATACGGCCTATAGCTCAAAAATAAATTATTGAATTATACTAAACTAAATAAGAAAAAAGGTATTTTTCCCTTTAAAGCGTTTTTCTCAAATATATCAGAAGAAAGGGGCTTAATCGCCTTTACAACGGTACCAATTGTTTAAAATTCGGTTGTTAATTTTTATGTTTAAAATATTTTTTTTTATAAAAAAAAGTTTTTTTTCCTTTAAATGTGGATTTTCTCAAATTTTTATATACGAAGTATACAAATATGCATTTCAGAAGAAATTAGTTTAATCGCCTTTACAACGATAACAATGTTTTAAAAATCGGTTAGTATTTTTTTGTTTAAAATATTTTTTTTTTATAAAAAAGGTATTTTTTCTCTTAAATGTGTTCTTTCCCAGATTTTTATATACGAAGTATACAAATATGCATATCAGAAGAAAAGGGATTTAATCGTCTTTACAACGATCGCAACTTTTTAATAATCCGTGTTGAGGAATGATATAAAAATAACATATCTGGTTTTGCCCTGCTTGAATAGACAAAGCTGAAAATAATTATCACTAATATCAGCAGTTTTTGCATATTTTCTTATTTTTTTCATTCTTACATATGTATATATATAAGGCGCAAATATGTATATACTCTGTCACTTGAACCGTTTCTTTTCGATCGAGCGCAATAAAGAATTCAACCAAACACATTAAGCTTTTTTCTCGATCTGGCGATACATTTAAGACTTCAATTCATCGCCAGAAGCTGGTTCTTCGAGCTGGATAGCGCTCACGGAAATACAGATTAAGATGCAGAGAGATTGGGCAGAATTAGTACAGCTGCGAGGACGAATAAAAGGTTCCATCTCGCGGTTAAGTGAATATGCTGATAAGCCACCTGTAGATTGTCAGCCTGAAGATGTAGGAGCACGGTTAGATCGAGTTTTCAATCGTCACCACAGCAATGTACAAGTTTAGCGATGATCCGGACTATGCAGACCCGGATGTAGACTTTGCCATTTACGAAGAGAAGGTTATGTTTGCACGTGGTCGACTTCGCGCATTATACTCTTCGCTAATGCCAGCGATCCCCAAGGAAGTCTGTGATACCCTGACCAGACTCACGGAGCAACAAACCAAGATTTTACAACAAGTTTCGGCGGCATCAACATCAAAAAATGGTTTTAAGTAAAATAACCTACCCAAAATCGTCATCCCTCCCTTCAGCGGACAATACAAGGCTTGGCCATCATTTAAAGATTTGTTTATTAGCGCAATTCATGAGCAACCTAATCTGACTAACACTCAAAAATTTCATTAATTAAAATCACTCCTCAAAGAAGACGCTGCTCAAATTCTAACACATATTCCTGTTACAGAGAGTTCCTATGACACCGCGTGGAATCGGTTAAATGAGCGTTATGATCGACCTCGCCACATTGTCGCTTCGTTCATCGAATTATTTATGTCGTTAACTGCTGTTACTGAAGAGAATGCATCAGGTCTTCGAAAGATTTCTGATGGAGCAAACGAAGTAATCCGTGGGTTTGATGCCATCTCCCGGAGTGACAGGGACTGCTGGTTAATTCGTCTGTTCGAAACTAAATGTGGATCAAACAACCATACATTAGCAACATGTTCATCCTATTTAAATATTGCTATCAGTGACCGACGCTCACTTATAAAGGATTAAATCGCTATGCTTTAATTGTCTTAGCTTAGGGCATACATCATCCATATGCAAATCCAAGTTTATCTGCAAGCAATGCAATCGGCGCCACCATACTTCCCTACACGTAAGCTCGTCAGATACAACCCAATAGTCGCCGCCCCAGGCCAACGCTTCCGCAGATCGTGATACATCTGCTGTCGGATCAGTAGCTAAGGGACCCTGGTCGACCGTAGCCCACGTATCACACCCAACATCGTCGTTTGTTGATGCTATGCGGGATATGGATACTCCTGAACCCGCATCACAAATCCCACTAAAAAATTTTTTGCCTACAGCAATTGTCGATGTTCAGAATAACCGTGGAAATCTTATTCCGTGCCATTTATTGCTAGACTCTGGTTCGGAACTGTCCTATATCTCAGAAAATTGTGCCCAAAGGCTATGCTTACACGAGGATGCATTTCATTATTTCTTAAATCTCGAATCTCAAATAATAACTTATTAGCACAGTGCATGTACTAAGCAACATAACTACACCTCTACCAGCAACAACTATCAAGAGAAGTTCAGAAAGCGGGTTAGAAGATATTCAACTTGCTGATCCGTCTTTCAATGTATCGTTGCCCATTGATATCCTCCTAGGAGCCCAATACGTTTGGAATATTTTCGATTGTAAGAAAAAATTTGACGCCTTTGGCAACCCTATAGCTATTTCCACAATTTTCGGATGGGTCGTTACATCAATCGCTGTCAAGAAAGAAAGTTCTTCAACCACATCATTTGTAACGACAATAAACATTGACAAATCACTTCAAAGGTTTTGGGAGCTTGAAGAGGTTTATCTTCCCAAATGTGTCGATCCAGACGGCGCGTTGGTTGAAGAACACTTTTTAAATACAATGAGACGCGGACCCGGTGATAAATATACAGTGAACCTCCCATTTAAAGAAAATATGCCAACCTTTTCGGATACCCTACAGGGGGCACTTTCTCGATTCTATTCAATGGAGAAACGTTTACTTGGAAACCCCACATTGAGACTTCAGTATATTGATTTTATGCGACAGTACGAAGCGCTGGGTTATATGTGTGAACTGCAACCATTCCAAGGTACCCTAGAAGAGGCTTCGATATTTTATATTTCACACCATCCCGTGCTCGGGAAAAAACTGAGGATAGTTTTTGATGGATCCTTTGCTGACTCCAAGGACGTTTCATTGAATAGCGTATTACAGGTTGGGCCTAACATTTATCGAAACTTGTTCGCTGTTTGTTTAAAATTCCGTCTTCATTGATTTGTTTTTACGGCGGACATTGTAAAAATGTTTCGCCAAATTTGGGTTGCTAAACATCATCGGGACTTCCAAAGAATCCTTTGGAGAGAAGATCCCAGCCATCCATTGAAGCGCTATCAGTTATGTACGGTCACTTATGGGACAGCGTGTGCTCCCTTTTTATCGGTTAGAGTTCTGCAACAGATAGCTCATGACTATCATACAACATTTCCTCGTGGAAGCCGCATATTGTTAGAAGACTTCTACGTTGACGACGTTTTGACAGGTGCCGATTCAGAGTCAGAGCTGATAGAACTGCGTGATGAGCTGGTGAAATTATTGAAAATGGCGGGTATGGAGCTCAGCAAATGGGTATCCAATTCCACACAATTGGAGGAGGAATGGCCTGCGCAGCATGAGATGTTTCCGGAAGAAGTTACGAAACTTCTTGGGCTTTATTGGAACCCTACAGAAGACATATTAACTTATAGTGTTCGAACACAAGCTCAGCGGGCCATTAACAAAACCCAAATCCTATCGGATGTTTCTAGACTATTTGACCTGTTGGGTCTTTTGGCTCCTATCGTTGTGCGATTCAAAATTATGTTTCAATTGCTTTGGTTGCAAAATTTGTCATGGGACGAAACCTTGTCTCCCAACTTGGCAGAAACATGGGCCCAATACCAGCAGGATCTCAGTCAAGTAAATGCAATAAAACTTCATAGGTTTGTGTCGAATCATGTCGACAAATTCGAAATTCATGGGTTCTCAGATGCTTTTAGCAAAGCGTATGCAGCAGCAGTTTATGAGGTGGGTTTTGTTGAAGGCTGAGGTATGCTCAGCCGCTCCAGAGTCCAGCGAAGGTCCCACTAACCCCCACCAAATAAAACACAATGATTTGTGTATTAAGTCGAACACACCCACACACACACGCGGCTATCTAGAAGGCCGGCAACTTGTCGTGCAGGGGAGAGCGGAAGGTAAAGAGCGAGAGTCGGCAGTCGGTATCGGAGATTATCCGGCGGGTAATTGTACGGTGACGGGAGTGTTACTAGTGACAGCGATATTAGCAGTGGTACGTGTCAGTCGTAGCGAAGAGCGTGGCAATGAGAGCAGTCGCGGTGGTTGTGACGGCGGCAGTAATTTTAGCGGCCCCCGGTGATTAGCGCAGCGGTACGGGCCCTAATGGTGGCAACGGTTATTGCGGCGGCCCTGGGTGACGGTGAATAGCGGGCGGTCCTCGGTAGAAATGTCGGCCTTAGGGCGGTAGCGGTGCTGGCGGTCCAGATTGGTGATACCTACGGACAACTGATGATTGTTGAGTTCATGCTGGCAGCTTTAGCTCTGGTTTTGTATGAACCGTTTGAGAAGTGAATAGGCTTATTCCGTGTTATGGCTTTTGCGCAGTGAACTTCTTCCATCTGTTGGTGTGCATGAGTATCCAAGTTGCTGTTTGTGAAATCTGCATGTGCTTACCATGCCAGCTTCGCGTATTCGTATGTACGCCTGTATGTATGTACATAGGGGTGCTTTTAGTCTTGTTGGTATGTTAGTTTGTGTGCACGCCTACCAGTATGTATGTATGTATGTTCATATATTGGTACCTATGTGCAGTTGTAAAACGTATGCTAGGGTGATGTTGAATATGTTATTGTGGCGTAGGCAAAGCTACGTTACAAGTTTATTTGCGATTTGAAGGTGATGGTGGTCAGAGCAGTGTTTCACTACTCGCCGCGAAAACGCGAGTGGCACCTTTAAAGATGATCTCTCTACCCAGACTTGAGTTGTGTGGTGCTCTCTTACTGGCTCGCCTAGTTAAAGTAATTATCGAAACTATTCCGCATCGGGATCCTAAGGTGTATGCTTGGAGCGATTCCACAATCGTCATGTCATGGCTTTCGGTACCGCCTGTTAAACTAAAGAGTTTTGTAGGCAATAGAACAAGTCAAATATTAACCGTTCTTCCGCGAAGCATTTGGCATCATATAGCTTCAAAAGAAAATCCTGCGGATTGCGCATCCCGTGGAATGTCTGCAGCCGCGCTTCGAGATTTCGACTTATGGTGGAAAGGTCCGTCATGGCTTAGAAGCGATACCGAATTCAATGAAGCGTTAAAGAAAGGTAGCCGTTTCACTTTTCAAACAAATGACGAAGTTTCAGGTGAGATGAAAAATAACACCATCACTATGCTAACCACAGAGAAGGCAGAACGCAACGTAATTGATTTGTTGATAGACCGCATATCCTCATGGCAACGATTACTTCGGACAACAGCATACGTTCTACGCTTCACTAATAATGCTCGCAAACGTGCTGTCAAAACAACGTCGCTTAATTTAGTCTTTGACGAAATATGCAAAGCTCGCAGTATTCTTTTGCGACACACTCAAGGATGCTTCAGAGAGGAGGTGCAAGCACTGAAGCTAAAAAAAGAAATAAGTCGTCATTCAAAAATTCATAAGTTAGCACCGTTTCTGGACAACAATGATCTTCTTCGCGTTGGAGGAAGAATTTCTCAATCAGAATTATGTATGGACAAAAAGTTTGTTTACGTATTGCCATAAACGTCCAAGGCGGCAAAACCAAAGTAGCGGTTTCGGGAATGCGCCACCTTCAGTTCATTACACCATGCTACGTTTATACGCATGCATAAGTCGCTTTAATTCATTTCGCCGCGATTCAAAACATATGTATAAACTGAATTTCAATTCGCTTTGAAAGAGCGAAGTGTTTTGGCTCACACTCCATTTCAAATCGGTAGTTTATTTCTCCAGACAGTTAGAAAGAGTGTATAAACACCGCTCTCACTCAAAGCGAATTGGAGATCAGCTGTTCCGCTCAAATTCCAAATAATCGCATCAGTATTTAAAAGCTGATTAATAATAATCGTTCTTTTTCTTTGCCACGATTTTATAATGCCGAATAAAACTAGATTTTTATCACTTTCCATTATGTTAACTTATAAAATGTCAAATGAAAACAGCTGATTTTGTTTGCTTTTGAAGACGGTTACTTTGATGCCGATATAATGCCATGTTCTGACCGACATCGAAAACATGTTTTCGTTGCTGAAACTGGTTTTCGACCTAAAACTTGTGTTTTCGTCCATTTAAAATCTGTCAAACGAAAACCAGTTTTCGCTGAAAACTACTTCAAAACTCACGTTCCACTCATTCCAATCGGTGTCTTCACTAGTTTTTTTCGATTATTTATCGAAGTGGAAGTCATATTTTATCATCTTTAATACACCATTTCGGATTTATTGTTAATTGGCTGGCCAAAGTACAATAAGAATGAAAGTAAGAGGTTGCTAATGAAAAAACAATGAGGGAAAACCATTTTGGTTTGGTTTTTGCGTAACGAAACTGTAATCAGAGGATGTAAGTAATGTCAGCGAAAACACTAACAGCCGGTGTGAACAGTCTTCAGCCCACAATCCCAAAACTCGTTTTCAAAGTGTTTTCGTTGTCGGCCAGAACATGGTATAAAGCCGTAAGTATAAACACTAGAGCGAAATGTGTACGGTGTCAATGCGCAATTAAGTCGATTATTCTGTGCGTATAAACGTAGTAAGAAATATACAGTAAACTCATCCCTCTTTGCAGCCACAGATAGAAGTAGACTGTTCTAATAGTTCGCGGAAATAATTATTCTTATAAACCCCTTATTTTTATTATACATATATTATAAAGCATTAATGGGATTTATAGTACATCAGAACTTATACTTATTAGGTACATACATAAAAACATATTACAAACTGACTGATATATGAGTGTCATGAGTTGAGGGAAACATGTCGTCACTTACTTTGTATACAATATTGGAGGAGAAAATATATTCAGAATTAACTTTTTGATTAAATGTTTCTTTAACAGAAACAATAATATCTGAGAATCGTCTTACTCTAGTTTAAAACAAAATGGTCCTCTACCCGGAATATCGACAAAGTTCACCTGCACTGAAGCAAACGCAAGACCGTTGTTAAATTTACGGAAATTCTCCAAATAGTTTTTTGAGATGTCATCATTGCGCTCAATAAGTTCTTTCCGCTCATCGCGGACAGAAATTGGTTTTAAACTCACTTTGCTCTTGTGGAAACAGATGGATGCAGTATTATCAGCTGCCTCGCCTGGATAAAGTTTAGCTGAGTAAAACTCACATATCTTCTCCATGCGTTCAGCACAATTTGATTCTATCTCATCGTCTTTAAGGAAGAGACGTGCACCGCAATACGTCTTTGGTAGCTTTTCTTGCCGCCTCCTTGCACTGACATCTTCACTTAATCGCTGAAAATGTGAGGCCCCAAAACACTACTAAATTGGGGAGTGAATTGTTGCCTTTGTTCGGCCCGTTGTTTCTGCCTTTGGTTCCGCATACATTCCCTAGCTCGTTGCAAATAGATCTGCCGTTGTTGCATATCTTGGTTTATTGGAAGGCGTTTTTTGCGATCAGCTGACACTCCCATACACTTTTTTCGAGGCATTGTTATGCGTAATTATATTAAATTGAATCCTATAGTAGTAAAAATGGTCATTACGATCAACAAAATAACTTTTTGAAATTATAAGGCTACCGATTTTATGTAGACCTTATGAGATAAACGCAATATGTCAGTATATCTAATGCAAAAATTTTTCTGTAAATGAAATGTTGGATTGAAAATCACCAAAAATACCATAATACCAAACACCAATATGCTTACCATACCAATAATACTCGTAATAAATGTATTGCTTAGCAAGTCTCATAAAAGGAATATCCGAATATTTTTCCGACAGGGTAGCCAGAAACAATATGGGCTGCAAATAAGATTGTGATGCGAAATTTACAAAAAATACCATAATACCAATATACATATGAATATACTTACCGTATCTACAATTTACGCGATAAATATATTTCCCAGCTTTTATCATAAGAGGAAAAAGTCAATATTTTTAACTAACAGCGCAGCCTGCTGCAATTCTTATTATTGAAATTCCTATTATTTGGATTACAGTTATG